CAAGAAGTGAATTTTCAATTATTGTTCTTAAAAGTATGTTTTTTATTTTATTCAAAAAATCAATCAATAATAATCATGTTCATTTCAACTTTATTGTTTTCTTTCAACGAAGCCCTTGTCACATCACGGGAAAGTTAACATTAACTTGGGTAAAAAACTTCAGCTGTCGAACGCTTCAATGACGGGGAAAGTTGAAGTTAAAGATCTCATTTAAAATACAAGACATGATATTTTATCTATCACTAACTATTTTGTGATGCCAATGTAATGTTATACCAAAACTCGTTTTAATTAACAACACTCTCTACTTGGTTGTAGAAATAGATGAGTGAAATTACTTTATCATACTTCTGACTCAATATTTTGAGGGCAAACATTTGACGATTCTTTGAGCGGGGGAAAGTTAAAGTTCTCATTTTAAATACAACACATTTTATTTTAACCAACACACTTTGTGATGTTTAAACAAAGCTTGTTTTAATTAATAACACTCACTACTGGGGTACAAAAAGAGATGAGACACTTGTGTTCTGAGCTCAGATTTAAAAAGCAAACAATTGACGATTCTTTCACGGGGTAAAAGATAAGCCTGTTTGAGCCATAGAAATTAATCATTGATGCTCATCCAGGCTGTCACTGCAACCTCAAGTGTGGCCACACAGGTGGAGGTGTGCTCGACCTGGACCTGGTGGCCTTAGGGTCGATGCGGCACAGCAGCGCTGCGGAGGCTGGAGGAGCTGGCCGTGGACCTGGCCGCGACGGGGATGCCCAAGCTGGAGGCCCTGGTAGTCTTGGGGTTGATGCGGCACCGCGGCGCTGCTGAGGCTGGAGTTCCTGGCGGTGTGCTCGCCGTCACCCTCGAGGTGCCGGGGTGGGGCGGGGATGCCCAAGCTGGAGGCCCTGGAGGCCTTGGAGTCGCTGGCGTGCTGGAAGTGCTGCGGAGGATGGAGGTGCTGGCGGTGTGCCCGCCGTCACCGCCGACGCTCTCGCGGCGGCGCGGCGGAGGCTGGACGTGGACGTGGACCTGGCGGCCTCTGGCCCTGGACCGCCGCCGTCCTGCTGACACACACACGCACACACGCGCGCGCGCGCACACACATGCACCCAGACACACACATACACAGGTGCCCGCGTCTAGGTCACCGCCGTAGTTGAGGTCGGCGACATGCAAGGGCCGTGTACTGCTGCGCTCTGGCGGCGTTTTGCGGAACTATGGTCGTAACCGGCAGTCTATTCGAGTCGAGCTGCTGCGCCCAGCCGGGGCAGGCAGTGAGTCGGAGCAGCACCGTCCGCTGCTGCGCTCTCACGGCGTCTAGCGAAACTACGTCGGTAACTTTGCGAGTAGAGCGGCGTACCGTGAGTAACAGGCAGCCATTTGACGAGCCGAGTCGCGCACGCCCAGCCGGGCCAGCCACGCGGAGCCGAGCCGGCGCCAGCCTGCGGGGCGGCAGGTTCACGTTTGTACCTAGTGACGAGTCGAGTCGCGCACGCCCAGGCGGGCCAGCCGCGTGGAGCCGAGCCGGGGCAGTAGTTCTGACAGCGGCCGATAGGTGCCGCGGGGTGGCGCTGTGGGCGCCGCCGTCGGGCGTATAAAATGACCCCCGCGCTCCAGGGCGGTATCACTACAGTCACAAGTCTTTCTTCGTGCACTTTGCTGATATGTCGTCGCTAGTTGGAGATATTCTGGATGAGTGGGAGGGAGGGTGTTTCTACACCGATGAGCTTCTCTCCGTAGCTTACACGGAGATGCTGCTTGCTCTGCTGGACGCCAGTCCTGCAGACAGGGCAGATGCAAGGATCGTCCCGTTCCTGCTTGTAGGCCATCTTGCCTGCATGCGGGAGCAGAACGGGGCCGACCCACACGCCGTACGGACTTACCGTATGGCACTCGCTATGGTCGGGCAGGGATCAGCTGATCCTACTCCCGCCACGCAGGCGCCGCCACCCCCCGCCACGCCTTCGGTGCCGCGCCCTGCTACACCACCTGCTTCTCCAGGCCCCTCACCCCCACCCTCGCCTTCTCAACCGGCCGAGGTCGCCCCAAAGCGGCCCCGGGAAGAGGAGGAGGAGGAGGAGGAGGGGGAGGGACCAACTCTAGAGATTCTACAAAGTCGAGAGCGGGAGTTGAAACGATTTAAAACCAAATTTCGGGAGGAAGTGATGCAAATCAGTGGTCTGGGAGACACTTTGCCTTCCGAAGAGGTTATGGAGGGGATGTTTGACGCGGCGCTGCAGAGGCAGCGGGAGGCCGTGCAAGCCAAGGACGATGACCGCGTCATCGTGGAGATTGAGAACTCGGAGAACGCTGAAAACCCACTATGGTTCAGCATGCGCCGCGCCGATCAGATCAGTGGGCGCGTCGTTCTGGACAAATTAGCGCGAGTTTTGAACTCCAATCAAGCATTTATGGCCCAGGGGCAACTCAAAATGAGTTACATACACATCCCCACACCAGAGGCTGGCGGGCGCCGTGTGGCGCGCGTCGCCAATGAATCTATGGAACAATGGATCGAGCGAAAAACAGGTTCTAGAGGCTCGATTTACTCTCCTGAAAATACTGACAACATGTGTTTGGCGCGCTGCGTGGCCGTGCTTATGGCTCAAGGGGGGATGAAAAAAGAGGCATTTTACAAACTTAAAAACCCCAACTCAGGCATTCAAACGGATAAGGCTCTCGCGCTGTGTAAACAAGCGCAGATCGACTCCACCCAACCTTGCGGCATAGATGAGGTTAGGAAACTACAGGATTCCCTCCCTGACGACCGCCTCTCTGTGTTCACAGACAAAGACGGAGAAGAGTGTGTGTTTAAGGGGCCTTATGCTGTCACACGAAAAAATATCTGTCTCTTGCTCCATGACAATCATTTCTATGCTATATTGTACCCCGGTGCTGCTTTCGAAAAACACTTTACGTGTGAGAAATGCATGGTTTTCTACAATAATAGGGGGGACCACCGCTGTGAGGGGTCGTGCTGGAGATGTTTTGGGGAGAATGAGCACACTGGTGAGCTTCAGCGTTGCCAGGACTGCGGCCACCAGTTCGCTGGCGATGCCTGTTTTGATGCGCATAAAACAGTTAAGCTCCCTCAATCAGATCACACAAAATGTGATACATTTAAATTTTGTCGAGGGTGTGAGAAAAGTTACTCACTCCAGCGGGGTCAAAAACATGTTTGTGGTTTTGTTTACTGCAAATATTGTAAGAACAATGTGCAGGAAAATCACTTGTGCTTCATCCAACCCTGGGGTGAGCGAGAGAAGAAAAAGACCTTCAAATATTTGAGCTGCTTCTATGACGTTGAAACTAGGCAGGATACACCTGTAGAGGGTCAGCAAGACACATTCGAGCACAAACCTAATTTGCTCGTTTGCCAAACAGTGTGCAGTGATTGTGCCCATATACCCCACAATGATTATTTCTGCACTGTGTGTCAGACTAGACAGCATATTTTCCACAGTTTGGACGACCCTAACCTCAATGTGATGGAGCAGTTTTTCAACTACCTCCAATCATTTGGGGCAAAGACGAAGATACTTCTGGTGGCACACAATGCCAAGGCATTTGACGCTGTTTTTGCTGTCCAGGAAATTATCAAGTGAAAACTTAAGTGTGAGATCACACTCCAGGGAGCCAAAATACTCTGTATGGAGGTAGGCAACTGGAAGTTTATTGACTCACTCATGTTTATGCCTATGCCTCTGAGTGCCATGCCCAAATCGTTCGGCCTCAACGAACTCAAAAAAGGCTACTGGCCATTTTTGGCCAATAAGCCTGAGTACTACAAGTATGAAGGCCCACTGCTAGACAGGGACTTGTACTGCGTGTCTGGCATGAAGTCCAAGGCAGCTGCAGACTTTAATGCTTGGTATGACGAACAAGTGGCGAACGAGTATGTTTTCAACTTCCGGCGGGAGTTGATCGACTACTGCATCTCAGATGTAACCATCTTGCGCCAAGCATGCCAGGCATTTAGGAAGTTGTTCGAGGATGTGGCCGGGTTTGACCCCATGTTTAACTGCATCACTCTAAGCAGTGCATGCATGGCGGCCTTTCGCCGAAATTTCCTTAAGCCAAATACGATCGGTGTTGTCCCGGCGGGGGGATACCACGGCAGAGGGAAACAAAGCCACATCGCTCTCCAGTGGCTTGACTTTGAAGCACATAAATTGGGCAAGAAAATCAGCACAATTTACACAGACAGGGAAATCTTAGTTCTGGGGCGCCGCGTCGATGGCTACGTCGAGCTCCCCCGAGAGGACGGCACAGTAGAAAAGAGAATCTACCAATTCCATGGGTGCTACTGGCACCAATGCCCCACACACTTTCCTGCCACAGAGGAGTCTACAGAGAACAGGTTCGAACAGACCATGAACCTAACCTCACTTTTCCGCCGAAGCGGATACACAGTTGTGGAGAAATGGGAGTGCGCCTTCAAGCAGGACCTTGCGTCAGACCCTGACACCAAGGCGTACTTTGAAACACACCCCACCACTCGTGCTCCGCCTCTTAATCTCAGGGACGCCCTGTCAGGCGGGCGGACGTCAGCTTTCAAGTGGTACTACAAAGCTGATCTCTCCAAAGGCGAGAAAATAAAACTAGTGGACGTTGTGTCAGAGTACCCGAATGCCAACCTCCGGGCGGAGTACCCTATCGGGCACCCTGAAATCTACCTCGAGGGTGATCCGGAAATGGCTCCTCCTGACTATTGGAACGGTGCCATTAAGTGTACTGTCCTTCCTCCCCGGGACTTGTACATACCTGTTCTCCCCTACAAGTGTGGCGGGAAATTACAGTTCCCCCTTTGCCGCACCTGTGCGGAGACAGGAAGCAAGGAAATCTGTCATCATGAGAATCCCGATGACAGAAAACTCACAAGCACGTGGTGTGCTCCTGAGCTTCTCCTGGCCCTGAGGGAAAAGGAGTACAGACTCCTAGCCACTCACGAGGTGTACCAGTACCCTGAGACATCCAAGTACAACCCTAAGACAGGGGAAGACGGTCTACTGTCCGCCTATGTTCAGTGCTTTATGGCCCTCAAAATACAGGCCAGTGGCTGGCCTGCCGACTGCACCAGCGAGGAGCAGAAAGCCAAGTTCGTGGAGGACACCCTCAAACATGACGGAGTAGAGTTGGATCCGACCAAGATGGAAAAAAATCCTGCGCTGCGCACTCTCGCGAAACTGATGTGCAACAGCTTCTGGGGGAAATTCGGGGAGAAAACTCTCAGGTCAAAGACAGAGTTTATTTATGACTATAGTAAACTCATCACTATTGTCACAGACCCCAGCAAAGAGGTAACAGGCCTTCTCCCTCTCAGTGACGAGTGCCTTCAGGTTTCTTGGAAACCAGTCGAGGACTCCGAGGAATCTCTCCCCTCCTCCTCCCTGATCCACGCCGCCTTCACCACTTGCCATGGGCGGCTCCAACTGTACCAATACTTGGACGTGGTCAGAGAGCGCGCCCTGTACACCGATACTGACAGCGTATGTTATATCAGCCGTCCAGAGGAGCCAGACCTGCGTACAGGCACCCATCTGGGTGACCTGACAGACCAGATAGAGGAGGACTTCGGTGCTGGCTCTTTTATAACAGAAATAGCCTGTCTGGGACCTAAGAACTATTCCTATGTTGTGGCGGCGGGTGGCGACACCAACAACACTAAAGTCTGCATCAAGGTCCGCGGGATATCAATAAACAAGTCCTGCGATGACCTTGTGACCTTTGAAAATCTTAAGGCTATGGCACTGGGACGCAAGGAGAATGTTACCGTCCCCATACCACGCCAGATTGCCCGCCTCCCCGGCTGGAGAATTGTTACTCGGGCGACCAAGAA